CACGAACAGCAGCACATCTATTGTTGGGATGGAGAGAAGCCCAGCCAGCATACAGCCAGGGGACTCGGTGGCATAGATTATTTTGAATCGTCGTGTAATATCAACATTGAATGAGTTACATTATATGAAAAAAGAAGATGAAAATGTTTTCCTTTTGTTTACTTTGCATTAAGATGATATATTAATAGCGATAACAGCACCAGTTCAATTAGAACAACAACCGCCATTAAGTGGTGGTGACGTCACCACGACTCTTGTGCCAGGCTATGTGCACCTTGAAGCCACGTGAAGTGTCGAACGCCTGCTGGCAGGTCACGGGGCAGACCCAGGTGCCACGGGTAGACTGACTGAGACGACTGTCTGATGCACCACCTGTGCCCCCTACTATGCCAACTTTCTGTGCTTTAGCCACCCGGCGCTCCACTCGTTGTTGTGAGCGTCGCTCCTCCGCCCTCCGTTGTTGTTGGAGGGCGACTGCCTCCTACTGCCCATTAGCGTCCTTCACGAGCCTCCTCCACAGAGGCCGATCTTGACATTGCCGGTACCAGTCATCGGCAAGTCCACTCAGCTCCACATCCTCCTATACCACATCACTCCATCTCTTCTCTAGCCCGTGCTGTGCCCGTTTAGCCCCCTCGATCCGGCCGAACAAAAGCTGTTTAGGCATGCGGTGATTGGGCATGCGGACTACATGGCCCAGCCAACGCAGCCTTGCCTGCTGGAGGAGCTCACCGATGGAACTTTGTCCAGATCTTTCAAGGATTTGTGAGCTCCTCACACAATCCTGCCTGGTTAAACCCAGGATGGATCGTAGGCAGGCCAGCCTAAATGTTTCTAACCGGCGAAGATGTTCCATTAGGGGGGTCCATGTTTCACAAGCGTAGAGAAGGGAGGGAATGACTGTGGCCGAGAAGACCTGAAGCTTCGTGCGGAGCGACAGACCAGGTAGCTTCCACACAGCGTTACGCAACCGATGAAAAGATAATGCCGCTCGACTGATTCGGAGTGAGACCTCTGCTGTTAAACTGGAGCCGGTCATAAGCACACTGCCCAGATATGGGAAACTCTCCACTCTCTCCACAACTGCCCCATCACCAATTGGGAGTTGTGGGGGTGGAGTGTCCGATGGTACAAAATACCTTGGCAGGTGCTTAGTTTTGGTGGGGCTGATGGTAAGGCCCCACCTCTTAGTGGCAAGCTCCAGGTTTAATAGCAGCACCTCCAACTCCTCCTCTGAGTGAGCAGCGATTACCAGATCATCGGCATACATAACATGGTTGAGCAATAGGGAGCCATCCCTTGTCCGCACCCGGGCATCGATCAGCCTCCCATTGTATCTGTACCAGATGGAAATTCCTCTGGTACAGCTATTGAAGGCCTCACGAACACGTGGTCAAAATAGATGTTAAATAATTAGGGAGCCAGAGGACATCCCTGTCACACCCCAAGATGTGACAGGGATGTCCTCTGGCCCGCTCACCATCATGAAGGTCTTTAATGATTGTGAGCAGAGGGTCAGGGACTCCCAAAGCACGAAGAACAACCCAGAGCCCAGGCCTACTGATGGTATCATAGGCCTTGACCAGGTCAATAAAGCAGAGATGTAGGTCTTGTTGGAATTCTCTACACCTCTGCTGTAGCAGACGGACAGAAAAGATGGCATCCATGCAGGACCGCCCTTTCCTGAAACCGCATTGGGGTTCCGCAAGCCTTTCCTCACCGTGCCTAGCAAGGCGATGTTGAATAATCCTTGCCAGGACCTTTCCCGGCACACTGAGGAGTGAGATGCCCCTGTCGTTGTTACAGTCTGTGCGGTCCCCCTTCTTAAAGAGGGGGACCACCAGGGCATTCTTACAATCCTGCGGAAGCCATCCAGTGGTCCAGACTGTTGTTATGATGTCATGTAGGGCAGTCTGTGCACAAACGCCACCCTCCCTCAGCATTTCGCTTGGGAGATCATCTCTGCCCGGTGCCTTTCCTTGTCTCAGACTCTGGATCACCTTCAGTACTTCAACAGATGGCACCTCAGCCAGCCACTCACAGGGGGTGACTTCCTCCAATATTTGAGGCACCGCAGCCTCGGCAGGGTCATCCCCACTTTGTCCCACGTTGTTATCCAGGCCGAGGGATGTCCCCTACCCCAGGACCTCACAGAAATGCTCAGCAAATCAGCAAACCTGTTCCTGGGGGTCGGAGATTGGATCACCGTTCCTTCCCCTAATTATGGTAATAGGTGTGGCGCTGGAAGTTACTTTTTTGATGGAATTAAAGAGCGATTTGTTATCGCGGGCCACTGAAGCAGACTCCATTTCCTCAGCAACCCGCGACCATCACCCTTCCTTGCAGCGCCTCACGGCTCTCCGAACCTCCGAGCAAAGGCTGCGGTAAGCCTCCTCATTCTCCGGCGTGGGATGCTGTAGCCGATGAGAGTGGGTCTGTCCAGTTTTATTCAGCCAGCTTGAACACCTCCTCTCTCAGCCAGGGTCTCTGAGGAGGTCTGGACCGTGTACCCAAAGCAGCCATTGCAGCTGCATGAGCCACAGTCCTAAATCTTGCCCATTTCCCCTTGACATCAGGAGGAGTGGGGGATGGTCTCAGCTAGCTGAGACCATGCCACTAAGGGTTTCAATGGGGTCCTGGGTTTACACCCACCACCGGTGTGGAAGAATGGCAGGCGCATATTAGAGATGACAAGTCGATGGTCAGTGGGCAGATCAGCTCCACGGAAGGTCCTGGTGTCAAGGACATGGACCCTCATCCGCTGTTCCGTCACTATGTAGTCCAGCAAATGTTCTTGCTTGGACCCGGCATGCATCCAAGATGTTGTGTGGATGCGCCGAAGCCGGAACAGCGTGTTGGTAATTACAAGCCCATGGGCTGCACAAAAATCTAGCAGCCTCCTGCCGTTATTATTGAGTTGATCTGGCCCATGCCTTCCAATCACTCCAGACCAGGTGCCAGAATCATGACCAACTCGGGCATTGAAATCACCCAACAAGTAGACTCTGTCCCGAGGGGCCACTTTAGCTAGCACCTGTGACAGGAGGTCATAGAAGGCATCTGACTCATTGGCCTTGCCTGCATCCCTCCACGGACGTTCGTCTTCAGTGGGGGCATAAGTAACCAAGACCACCACTCCTCGCCTCTGGTTGAAAGTAGACTGGGGCGTACAGCTTCCCACACCTCACCCCCATGCTCCCACACCCCCTTTGTTATTTTGTTCAGAAGAAGAACCACTCCCTGTTGTTTGGCAGTCTCCTGCCCCGAGAAGAGGACTGTCCACCCCTCATGGTGGCAGGAGCCAGAGCCGGTCCACCGGACCTCCTGAATACCACAGAGATCCAGGCGGTACCGGTCCAGCTCCCGACAGAGGAGTAGCAGCCTCTCCTCCGCAGTGAACGTTCGAACATTCCACGTGGCCACACGTAGTTGTTTTTTGTTGTTTCTGGAGTAGCCCCGAGGGTAAGGATTCAGTCTCCTGGCTCTGCCAAATTGGGTTTGGCCAGGAGAGGTCATAGATGCCTGTCCCCCCGGGGCCTCCGGCACAAGCTTATTACATAACACACACACACACACATTGGCTGTCAATCTTCATGAGTGGATCTGAACACATACAGGCACGCGTTGAACATCTGCGAGTGGATTATATCAGTGTCTGGAACTTCTCCAGCGTTGAATTATTCATGCAAGTCGAACTCTGTCGACTTGGCACTGTCGAAACCAGTCCGGGGTTCTACTTTTGTTGAATAAATGCTGATGAAAGTATGCACACCCAGAAGGCCCGTCGGACCTATGGGGTTATGTAGCATCTCGCCATCGTCGGACCGGTGACGAGATGTTAACTTTCTCGTCTGGTATGCAGGAGGTCGTGGGTTCGATCACCACCATGACGCCTGCTGTATTTGGAGTTTGCGGTGTCTCTCTCTCCACGTGGTCGCGTGAATTTTTCTCCGGGTCCTCCGGTTTTTCCCCTCCACATTTAGAATCCACATCACGCTTTTCGAGTATGTTGCTGCTATACGTGATTTGCACGTGATGATGATTGATAAGCCCCTTCGTCGAGCGATCATTTGTGACCAGGTCGCTTTTGAAAAAGAGCTACATAGCTCAGTGGTAAAATAAAAAATAAAAAGTGTAAATAGTTTGGTCTAGAAATACTTTAACTTTTTTACCTGGAGAAACAGATATTTGATTGAGACATAGACTGTATATTGTCCGCTTTTCTCTGCTGAGCCGTGAGCATTAACGGTGGTCCAGATCTGAGCAATCAGTCTCTGCTTGCAGAGACGTCCAACATTCAAGCCATCCAGTTGCTTGCAACCAAATTGCGCGACTGATCGCTCAGGTATTGTTGACCCGATTGGAGGCAAGCACGCGCATACGCCTGCCCTTGGAAATCACGAGCAGCGGCGAACATTGTTATTTCACACACGTGGAGCAAAACATCCCGATCATGTTTTAATTTCATTACTCGCGCACGGGTAGGAGGAGTGCCTCGTTAATCTCAGACTGGATCTGTGTGCAACTTTATCCAACACGCGCTTGTTTGCTCGCTCAAAGCCCACCATCATCACCAGCACCATCACCCACTATTACAACCAAAAGACAAAGATCCCCTGTATAGCCTTAACAGACTGTTGGGGCAAGTGCTTTTAACGAGTAGCACCTATGAAGGCCGGCACGGCACGCGACCGCGTGGGTGGGTGGGCCAGCATCACACCCAGCCGCCTTTGTCTCCCTAGTGGCGATGTGTTTACGCACTACACCAGGTATTCATTTGAGGCTGAGTCGATCTAGGGGAGGCCCAGGACTGGTTCAGATTCTAATTGTCACTGATGTTGACCGTGAGCGGGAATCGAACTCGGGTCGATCCAGGTTCGTAGCGCAACGCACTAACCGCTACACCACCGCCTACTCTCTTCTATTATAACCACCATCATCACCGTCACCATCACACCACAACCACCACCACGTACGCCACGCGAGAAGAGGCGACTTACCTAACTCGTCGATTCAATTCCTCGGTCTCCAGCCTTGTCTTCCAGCTCCTGGATCTCTACCGCCACCACCACCACGAGCTGTTGCAGCGAATAGACTCTGAGGGTAAAAACACATTCACAGCACCGCTCACGTTGACAACAACCAGAAAAGCAACAGCGTAAAACGTGCCAAACGAAAACAGCAAACAGCGCTATCGATTATAACTCTGTACAAGCCCGTTGTCAATCCACTGCTGGATGCAGGCCGTACTTATCCACTGCGCGGTAGCGGAGGGGAGGGTGCTGGACCGTGTCAGATGTCGCTCGCTCCCGATGTCAAGACGTGTCCCGGAATCGAACTCGGGTTGCCGGCTAAAAATCTTGGCAGTGCGCTGAGCAATGCACCGCTCCAACAGTCAACGGTGGGCACGCACCCACCCACCACTCTCTCCGTCCAGAATTGCACAACACAATAAATGCACATTAAATACAGGTGGTGGGCATTTAAAAACGAATTATAATAACATGCGCTAATCACTGCGCCACCGCTCCCCACTCAAAAAAACACACGTAATGCACAGTATACAAATCCAGTCGTGACGATGGGGACAGGACACATGCGGTGATCGCGTCGCCACCGCTCGCATCCATCGCTAATAATAATAACAACGATAATTAATTCCGCAGGTCCTAAAGCAGCAGGTGAAAGGCAATAATTACCACTGGCCTCTATGAACACGAAAACGGCACTTGCAAATAAACAAAAAAACCCGTGGTCGTTGTTCGGTTTGCGTGGGGTGCAGCAGCAGCAGCAGATGCGCACACAGCCGCGTTCGGCTGATGGAAGCCCTCAACTGCCCCAAAAACGGGGTCACAACCACCAAGCAGCAGCAGCAGCAATGTGTGGTGTGTGGGGGGGGAATCCACGACCATCCAAACTAACTGTGGCTCTCTGGTGAGCCGGGCGCTCTGGTGGTTGTATGGGCAAAGGGGGCGTGCGCAGAATCCTAATCGAAGGCGGGGCCCCTGATTGTGTGATTTTTTTCGCTCCTGCTTTTGCGACGGAGAGAGAGTTGAGGTTGTTGCTGTTGCTGCTGCGTTGCAAGCCACGGAATACAAAGATTCATTATTTTACTTCCTCCGTCCGTCGATCCGCCGGTCCGTCCGTACGTGCGTTGATGTGTGCGCATGCGGGAAGCGGTAGTGTAGCGGTTAGCGCGCTGCGCTACGAACCCGGCGAGCCGAGTTTTAGTCTCGCTCACGGCCCACCACCGGTGACGATGATCTGAACCGGTCCTGGGCCTCCTCTAGGTCGACTCAGCCTCAAATTAGTACTTGGTGCGGTGTGTAAACATCGCTCGCTAGGGACACAAAGGCGGCCGGGCGTGGTGCTGGCCACCCACCCCATCGTGTGCCGTGCCGGCCTTCATGGATGCTACTCGCTAACAGCACTTGCCCCAACAGTCTGTTACAGGCTACACGGGAGGATCTTTGTCTTTGTTAGCACGCCCATCTCGGCTACCCCCCCACCTCCTCCCGCTCTATTACCCTGGCCATCTGGACCTCTTCATGCTAAGGGGGTGGTGGTGGTGGTTCCTTCAGGCAGCGCGCGACGAGGTCGCTGCTTCAGAGCTTTGGGAACCTCCCAAGAGGAGACGGAGCGCTCCAGCTTGCGCGCTGGCAGCCAAGAATAACGCGGATCGCGCGACTTGCGCGGATTTGTCGGATTGCGCAAGCTTGCAAAATTGACCAACGAGGGTAAACAGTTCGACATCAAGGGAATCATTTATTTTCATTTTCTCCCGGTGGGTGGGTGGGTGGGGGGTTGGTTTCTTCAATGCCATCAGCAATACACAATAACAGCTGGTGGTAACTGCACTCTCCCCACATTCTCCCACCAACACGTCCATTCCCAGTCTCATATCTGTCATGCCCCATCCCTCGCCCCCCTCTGGATGTTGTTTCTTTACCTTTTCTACACTTTGCACTCCCTATCGCGTTTCTGCATTGTTTGTTGGTGCAACGTTCTGAACCCGTGCCCCAACTGGACATCGGTGTAAAAAAAAAAAAATTCTGATTCAACTATAAATAAAGCATTCGTGCCATTCTGTAAAGCTCAAACGTGCCTCTCAACCTCGCGGGCAAAGTAAAAGTGAGACAGTGATTTGTCGATGATGGTTTTAAGATCATACTGGTTTGCGCCAGATACAGCCGACCCCTCGTCGATGATGTGACATATTGATACATGTGCGTGCGTTTTCGAGTTATTTACCAGTACACCTCGTGACCTCTCCTCGCTCCAAGAGGTCCTAATCAAAGGCATTCCTGGAGGTTACAAATCACGTCTCGTGCCTTCAAGAAAGGCACTCAGTCGAAAACAATTGCTGTAAAATTGCACAGCAATGCTTGATGGTTCGCCATTCACAACAGAAACGGCCTTTACGCGATCACATCACTTGTGACAACCTCTGCAAAAAGCTTTTGCAAATAGCGCAGCTATTCGCGTCATTATCGCCGAACATTTGTGGTCCTATAAGAATAGGTTTTACCCTTTCTGGCAACAATACAGGTGTTAAGATGTTCAAACACCGAACAGAGAGACATTTTTGCAAGGAATCCAGTCTGCATTAACCACACGCGGCACTTATGTAGTGACGCTAAGGGTGTCACTGTGGTGGTAGCGCCAGGCACTGTCACAAGAATGCTACTGTGCATCTGGAACAACTCTCTCTGGGGCCAGAGTGAGGACTAAATGCAAGTGGGCCCTAGGGGCATAGTCCTGGTGACGGCCTGAGAGAGGGCAAGTGAGGACATGGTAGTCTGGGTGAATTCTAGATTTGAAGCTTTCGTGACTGCAAGGATTCATACTCTTAGTTCTTTCGGTAAAGTCACGTAGGCAAAAAATGAAATTGAAATTAATAAAAATAAAACAATAAAATCACGACGTTTCGGAGGCAACACAAGTCTCCGTCATCAGGTGGGACCGTCACAGCCAGATTTGCTGCATCAAGTCTGGGTGAACCCGAGAGGGCACGTGACCGGGACAGGGTAGTGAGGGGGGCCCGAGGGGGGGGGGGGGCTTGAGGGACACGTGACGCTCCGTCCAGATCCTTCGAGAAAGGTCTTGAAGGGGGCGTGGCTCAGGGCGGAGCGAGTCCACGCCCAGGAGCATAAAAGGGCGGTCCCGAGAGCGTTCGAGGCTCGTCTGGAGACTCATTCCTGGGGTCTCGCGTCTCGTCGTCGTCGTCCCGACTCTGCGGTCTTCTCTCGGCACCGTGGGTCAGGCAGCATGTACGCTGACTGACTCCGTACGTGTAGTTAATCCGCTACTCACATCGTACATCTGTGTAGTTATCACTTAGATGTTGAACCAGTGTACGTTTATACTGGTAGGAACATCCTGGTTACACCAGCCCACAGGGGATTATTGTGTCCGTCCGTCCGTCGTGCAGGGAGGGGCTGGGTGGGGAGGGTGGGGAGGGGCTGGGTGGGGAGGGTGGGGCTGGGAGGGGAGGGTGGGGAGGGGCTGGGTGGGGAGGGTGGGGAGGGGCTGGGTGGGGAGGGGCTGGGTGGGGAGGGGCTGGTCACCCTGTGGTGCCCTTATATTACTCAACGTTTAACCTACTCACGCCGGCTTGTGCCCGCCCTCACAGTTGGCCATATTTGCGGAATACACCACGCCGCCGTTGACCCTGGCCATTGACCGAGCAACCCAACGTTCTTACCAGCTCCCTCCGCAGGCATGTGTTGTAGTGAGCCCTGTTGGGGTGTTTGAATAAACGTGTTGCCTCCAACTCCAGTGTGTGTCTCCGTACAACGCACTACACTTATATTATCGGAGCATGTTTGTGTTTGCATGTTCACCACAAGTACGTGTGGTTTATGCAGACACGATTCCCTTCAAAAGGTTTCTGTTTGGTGTTTTAACATCTGAACACCTGTTTTATTATATTCTGTTTTATTGCCAAAGGGTGAAACCTATTCTTATATTTTGCTACTGGCAAGACAGGTCCCATATTTTTGGTCCTTAAAAACATTTTTTATTCCCATCTTGACTGTCGTTATAATCTCATTTCCTGAGACGACGAATCCTTAAGCAAATCGCACAGAGCAGTGCATCACTTTGTGTCTAAATATAGTTGTGCAAGATGTTTTCACGAAGCTTATTCCTCGTAAAAATATTCAAACCGTCCATCTATCTTCCCACGACAGAAGGCAAACCTTCCGATTATCTCTGCTATGAAATTGGTGTTTATCGCACGATAATCGAACCAATATATTTAATGATGGGAGTTGGAATTTTGCTAAATTAAGTATTTTTTTTGTAATAATGGATTGTTTTGTGCAATCATTAACGATCAGGTTGAGACCATCAATTAATTACACTTGAGAACTCCGCTTAATCAAGAATGCCTGAAATCTGGACGCGAACGCAGGGCCTCAATAGCACCAGCTCAGCACTCTGACCTCCGAGCCACACGGCCACATCTGCACGATGATTTACATCTGTGCGTAACACGATCGCTGTCGTAAATAAATAAAAATGCACGCTTCAGATATTGCCCCTTGGTTTCAAACCAATGCCAACATGAACTCCGCACCACGCACCAACAATCCAACAGAGGCAAAAGAAGCCCACGACAAAAGGTCATCTCTAACCTAACCGTATCCCTGGCATTGTGACTTTTCCTGCAGTGGGCATCATCGAGACGAGAAACTTCTCCAAGTGGAAAGTCTTCGAGTGTATTTTTTTAACCGGCAAGTACCTGCCAGCAACCTTTGGATGAATGCTCGGCAATTCAGCAGCTTTTAAAACAAACTGCACTATTTTTTTTTCATTTTAGCAGGTAAGGCCCACTGAGCTACATATCTATTTATCATAAGCGACCTGGCCATAAGTGATAGCCCAATTAAGTGGCTTATCGTGTTTCAATGTACAGCAGCCAAATACTATAAACGCACGTTTCTAAATGTGGAGGCAAAAACCGGAGGACCTGGAAAAAAATCCACGCGACCACGGGGAGATCATGCAAACTCCAAATATGCAAACATCAAGGGTTGTGATCGAACCCACGACCTCCTGTATACCAGGCGAGGTAGTTAACATCTCCTAGCCACCGTGGCCATGATGAGAGAGAGAGACACGCAAACTCAAAATATACAGGCGTCAGAGTTGGGATCGAACCCACGACCTCCTGTACACCAGGCGAGGTAGTTAACATCTCGGCACCATGGTCGTGACGCGTGGGACATGCGGCTTATTTTCTGCACGAGCCACCGACAGCCAGGACTGGAGAAGCGTCGATGCAAATTCTGTTTCCTTCACGAGCCTCCCGTACAAACAGGGCAAGCAGGGCAGGCGAGGTCGTTAACGTCTCGCTCCCGCGGCGCCACTGCCAATCTCCGAGCGGAGTTTGAAAAGCACTCGATCGAAAGATGTTTTGGGTCACGGCAAGAGATTGGTCGGATTCATATTCTTAGGTTTTTTTTCGGTAAAGTCACGTAGGTAAAAATTTTAAATTAATAAAAGTAAAATAAAAATAAAATTAAATCACGACGTTTCGGAGGCAACACAGGCTTCCGTCTTCAGGTGGAACAGTCACAGCACGATAGCTGTATCAAGTGATATCAAGGGATACAGCTTGATACAGCTGTCGTGCTGTGACTGTTCCACCTGAAGACGGAAGCTTGTGTTGCCTCCGAAACGTCGTGGTTTTATTTTTATTTTACTTTTATTAATTTGAATTTTTACCTACGTGACTTCACCAAAAAAACCTAAGAATATGAATCCTTGCAGTCACGAAAGCTTCAAATCTAGGATTGGTCGGAGTTGGTTCGGTCTCCCACCTCGAGGCACCCTCCCACACGGGCAGCAAGGGGAGGACGTTGCCAGTCGCGTTCCGAGATGATGTTGGAAACACGTGCGGCAAAGATCCTATAACCTCCAAAGGGCA